GCGGGCGAAAACGACCAACCGGGGGGTGGGGGGGGGGGGCGGGGGGGGGGGGCTGTAGCCACGAGGAGAGTCGATGAGGTTTAGGAGTGGGGTAACACTGGGGGATACGTGTGAGAACCTCCCCTCTCGCTAGTGACACATCCAAACACCTGAACGGTGGCACTCACAGGAGCGCGTGGGACTGTAGCACAGCTCGCGCTCTGCTCCCAATGACTCTCCGCAGAAGAGCTTCTGCCAGTCATGGCTTTCTTAGCTTCTTGGCCCGTGGCAATGTCACATAGGTAAGAGACATCCCTGAAGCGGAGGGAAGAGCTCATTCAGTGGCCACCCCACAGGCAACCCAACTGCTGCCTTACTGCCAGCGCGGGTTTGTGCTGCTCAGCCCAAGCTCACGGCCAGGACTCCCTCCCCTGGGCCAAAGGCAGATGAGATCATGGGTTTCGGGCAAATTAACCTCGCGTTGCCTATCCATTTTTCACATCTGCTGCCAATGCCCTATTGCATGCATATCTGCTGTCTGATAAAAACATTTTTCATTTCTTAGCGTCATTAAGCGTTGCTTATTTACTAAGAAGTGTAAAGCTACTCCCTGCTAAATCCATTAAAGCCAGAAGAGCTTCTTTTCTTAATCGTGAATCACAGAGCATCCCTGTGAGCCTGGCATCCTTTGGAAGGACGGTTCCAAGGATGGCTAATTTAGCAACTCATTTATTTGTCATTCCCTCAAATCTCTCCAGCCGGGCAGGACAGCTGGTCCCTTCACCCAGCCCCGTGAGGCAGCAGAACCACCTCCCCTAAAAAAAGACCAAGTGAGAGATCTAGCTCCACATTCCTAGCTCTAGCGTCTTTCCACCGCCCTGGACTCCTTATCCCTGCTTTGCTTACATTCCAGCGCCTGTCAAACTGACAGGGTGGTCCGTCAGGTGTCTGAACTTGCTCCGACGATTAGGATAATGCCAAAGCCGATCTGGGGCTTGCAGGCAGCCCTGCAGACAAGGCACATGTGGCTGTCCCTTCTTAGCAAGAAACACGGGAGAGGAGGAGTGGGAGAGGTCAGGGTAGCCGTCTAAACAAGCTCAGCATCATTATTTCTGTCTTGGGGCTAAAGAAACCCATGTGGACAAAACCACCTCGGCAAGGGCTTCACTGCAGCACCGGGGTGCAAGCACGTTTTGTAGGCACTGGAAGACGATGTTTTGGATCTGCATCAAATGGTACGGTCAGAAAAGCGATGCAATGTAAGATAAAATTGTCTTATGAGGTTGGCAAACTTCCCTTTTGGCCAGGGAATGAACACGCACCTGCACCGAAGAGAATTCTGGACAGACAAAGGCAGGAGAGGGAAACACACTCACCCTGAAGCCCACTGGGGTTTTGGTGGTTTGCGGGGACTGTAAGTACTCTGGGCTGTAGGGGGAACTGCTGGCACAGGTCAGGCTTCAGAAAACCTCTTCCGGAACAAAACTGCGCTCCAGGGAGGAAGAAACAGGCCTGATGGGGCCAAGCATCCTCGAGGTACCCCTCAGCTTGTGGATCTCTGGAAAACAGCACTGTCAGAACCATTTCAACAGCGCTTATTCTGCTGGTGAAGGCATAAACCGGTGATAAAATACAGGGCTGAGAAAGACCATGGCAAGATGTCTGCCCGCTCACCATTTTTAGGGGTCGTTCGATCTCCAGTGAGTCCTAGAGCAGCAGTTACCTTCTAACCATGGGAGATAAAGTACAGTCGCAAGACTGCGCTGAGGTGCCAGGCGCACAGACACCAAGGGACGCTGTAAGCAACTAAAGATCGTGTGTTTCTCTAAAGCCATCTCCCTTCCCGTGGATTGCTAGCTGTCGGCCTTCTGCAAAGACACAAATGCCCTAAAATACCAGCGATTGCCTAGACAAAGGCAAAACTGAATGCAGAGAGGCACCCACCTGCTGAGGGAGGCGGGAAGGACGGGGAGTCAGACCCACAACCCCGGAGCCCGCAGGCCCCC